ATTTGGTTCACAAGATATTGAAGTCGTTGCTGTCATACCTGCCCCTGACTCACGAAATTCACAGAAGAGAATGTTTTTCCTAGAAGGTATGGTGCTGTGGCTTGCTTTGAAGAGCATCACATGGTTCTGATCAGGGGTCCTATCGGGCCTCGTGGCCTGTGGAGGGGGGGGGGGGAGAGGAATCAGACCCACTTGGAAAGCATCCTACAGCTCTGGTTAGGGGTCCTATCGGGACTTGTGGCCTGTGGGGGGGGGGGGGGGGGGGGATCAGACCCACTTGAGTTAGTTATTGGTGTTGGACGTGACGCCCGCTGAGGTCATTTTTGCGAATAATTAGACCGATTGTAGGCCCTCGAAAGACATGCACCTACGTCGTCATCGGGGCTTTACGACGTAGTCAGCTGCTGAGGTTGTATGGCGTCGCCTGCCGCTCACCCTGGCGCGACAGGCGGGCACCGCGAGTATGCACCTACTTGGGCCCCTATTATGACGTATTCTCGGATCTTCCATATAGGTCACGGCGTCGTCAATTTGATGCCGATACGATCTTTCTCCTGTCGTTAAAAACGCGTCGTTTCCCTTTAAATGTTACCGAACGCACGGTGCAAACAAGTGCACAAGCCGCACAAGAGTGCGCAAATACACAAAGCGCACCGGGTCTCTGCGTGCTGGAACGAGGCCGACAGGCTTTGGCCAGCAGAGGCCAGCTTCCGGCGGAGTCGGCGTCTCCCGAACGGAGGAGCCCCGTCTCGGCTGATTGGGGACGGGACGGCTGTCGGAACACGATCTCCGTGCACGCCAACCGCCCGGCCAACGGCGGCCGATCAGATCGGGACGCTGTTGACACAGATCGGTCGCTGATTGGCGGGTCGGCCTAACGCAATGCTGATGTCACGGCTGAAGTAAGCGCAGTCTTCGGGATCAGGAGCGGCTTGCCAGCGAGGCGAGGCGTCGTCACTTGTAAATTGTGATGCAGTAATCGGGCATCCTCAGGAATCTAGATCATCAAGGCCCATCAAATCCTCCGTAACCTGTGTACACGCCGGCATGAAAACGGCCAAAACCGGATTTGGGTACGAAAAACGTTATATTTTACGACGCGACAGCGTGTCAAAACGGAATAAGCAACACGGGCACTTCGAATTGTGAAGTGTAAGCACGCGGACCAAGGTGCAAAAAAAAACATTCAGCTTTCGTTTTGTAAACCATCCGTGAGCAGAGCGTGCTGGAGGAGCTGGCCCATCTTTAGGATGTGGGCATGCTCAAAAAGCGTGGGTGAGAAGTTCGTCAGCTTCTCGATTAGTTTTATGGGGCATTGTCCAGGTTCTGGGGTTACCAAGATACTGGAGTCAGGCCCCTGTTTTGATGGCAAATAGCGCACCTCGATTGGAAATACTGGAATTGAAATGAACGTTTTTGCGATGGGACAAAGGTTACCAAATCCTTCTACGTACTCTTGCTCAGCTGAAAGAGTCCGCAATAAGTGTTTATTTGACCTCTCAGAGACGCTCCCATAAGCCAGTGCCAGTCCACAGCAGCGCGTTTTTGGTGTGAGACGCTTTCAGCCATCGCATAACTGTGTTAGGTAACAGGGGGAGGGTTTTTTTTGTTATTCTCAGGAAGCCATGTTGAATTTGAGATATCTTGTAGCTGCTTTCATTGACGAAATGCACTGCTCTCTGTTACGCAAGTTTTTATGCTTCCTCGGATATTTGGGATGGATGACTTTGGCGTCAGAGTCCAATGTAACCACAACTCGTTAAGAGGCTTCCAGTATCATTATCGCAGCAGAGCAGTTCCAGTTCAGCTGAGTGTGTGGCGAATTTTGTACAATACCACAGCTATAGCTATTTGGCCTACCAAAAACAACCTTTCCGCGAAATATGTAGGAAGTTACGTCATACTCCAATCATGGATTTGGAGCCGTTGCCAATTTCTGGAAGCTTTCCCCCACGATTTCTGCGAAGTTTTGACTTAAGCATGAGAACAACGTCAAGCGGGAAAACTTGGCGGCGCTTTCAGTGAGGAAGCGCGTTGTTCCTAACATTACGACCGAAGACAACCGCAAAAGTGGTTGTTAGGCCACCTCCGCTGTGGTCAAAGTGGCAAAGTTAGGCCATGTTAGTTAGTACAAAAGTGGCAAAGTTAGGAAACCTCCGCTGCATTCCGTGCGGGTCAGGTCAGCACGGCTCCGGCTGTGTCCTTTTTTTTTTAAAGTGGGCGTCGCGCGTCAGTGCTCCGGAGATGAACTTCAAAAAGTGGCAACATGACAGGTTTGAAAATGTGGAGGCTTTCGAAGATCATCTCTGGAGCTAAAATGTTTCTCTTTCTATGGAAAAATAATTCCGCAAACTCTTTTTGGTGGTTTAATCCATTCCGCTGACAAGGACAAGTGAGCGTGGTCGGATCCGCAGTTCCCCGCGGCGATTTGCACCCCAGAACAGCATTCAGTTCGAACAGCAACAATTCACTACAGTTCAGTTCAGTTCAACATTTCGAACAGAACAGCATCGTTCGCTACAAACGGCTTCTTGCACCAGGACATCATTCCAGAAAAAGCCTTCTTGTTTTCAGGTCTTTCAGGAAAGGTGAACCTGCTGCTTTTCTGATTATCGTGAATGGCTATGCACAAGGCTTTTCACCAGGAGATGGTGCAGGGAACCACTTGTAACGACGGCCATCGGATGGAGTCGTGCACTCGGAGCGACGGCACGAGCGGACGCAGCCAGCCTGGACACACACAAGGGGACACCCCACTCACGAAGATGGAGTCGTTCGCTCGGAGCGAGTCACGAGCGGACGCAGCCAGCCTGAGACACACACAGGAGACACCTCCACTCACGAAGATGGAGTCGTTCGCCTCAGGAGCGAGGCACGAGCGGACGCAGCCAGCCTGATACACACACAAGGGGACACCCCACTCACGAATGATGGAGTTCGTTCGCCTCGGAAGTGAGGCACGAGCGGACGCAGGCCAGCCTGAGGCACACACAAGGGGAGGTTTTCTGACGGAGATGGAGCTGGACAACTCCGGAGTGAGTCGCACGAGCGGACGCAGCCAGCCCTGAGACACATCACAATGGGACACCACTGACGGAGAGGGAGCCGTGTGCGTGAGGCATGTCCTGGGCGACAAGCTTTGCGCAGAGTGTGCTATGTAAACAGCAAACACGTGCCCAGTAAGGCCGCATTCTGCGCCGCCGTATTGAAAAACACGCTCTCGATGGAGTACTACGGACTTCAGATGCATCTTCAAGTGGTGGAGGAGAGGGAGAGGGGGGGGGGGGGGGGGGCACACACGCCCGCCCCTTATCAATTTTTTTTCAAATATCTATATGCATATGAATGAATATTGACAATGTAAAAAAAATGATGTAGGCGCAAACACAGATGAGTGGATTGAAAAACGTCATGTTGATGCACGCCTCGTGAGGAATCCTACGCGTTCGCAGTGCGCTAAAATAAGCATTTCATCTAAAAATAGGAGGCGCCGTCTCACTTTGAAGTCCTGCATACGCCATGAGGGAGTCTCGGGAGAGGATGTAGAAAAAACATTGCTTTGCTAGGTGTTTTTATGATGTTTACGTGCGGATCATCGCAGCAGGGTCATCACCAGAAGCTTTTTATGTAGCTTACATGCATGGATAGAAGTTAAACTCTTACGTCATATCTTATGATAATGTATTAGGCACTCGCAAGAGCAGTATACTTTCGCAGTGGGCCACGCCAAATCTATAAAATAAAATATACGCCCAAAAGTTCGTGTGCCTTCTCCGAACCCAACTCACATCATCATGTGTAAATGCAAACGTTAACTGTTCACGATTTTTTGCATGCCAAGCGCCGCCGGCGACCTTGCCTTCGCACAGGGGATGGGGGTCCGACGCCTTCAAGAGTCGATGACCCCACCCTGGACCCCCCCCCCCCCCACACACACACAGTCCAGATAACATGGTTTGTGCCATGAAAGCTTTGTACATTGGTGGGCGCCAGCATTTTGGAGTTCTTGAATTACAGCTGTTTAAATTTACATTTCTTTGCGGTCATATTCTTTGTTGATGTGCATCTGTTGATGTGAAATGAGTCGGTGTTTGTTCCCGTCCGCCTACAAAGACTGAGCACGTCTGTGCTGGATGGACATCGACACACCTCACTTTTCCATGCATAAAGGATAATAAATTCACGTTCAGCTCCTTCTCTAGTTGTCTTAGCTGACACCATAATTTTGACCATTTCTCATTTTTAGGAGACTTTTAATGAATGTGCACAGCATTTCACAGAAATGGTGGCCAGCAAAAACATTAAACTCAGAGCGTAGTTTGCTATAAACAGCAAAAGCTTACATCGAAGATGACAAAGTTGCAACGAAAATTACCAAAACAATCCAGACACCCAGACACACATGGTTTGGATGCATGTGACAAGATGCAATAATTGCCCCCATAAGAGCGAGAGTTCGTCACAAATGCACTGCTGCAGGTGGAATTCCATCCCGCGATCCCACTTCATCTTACATCCCAACCGAACTGACCTATTCGTTTTATCGTCTGCGACAGTTCTCTACTAGATGGATCGCCCCAAAGCTCCCTACTAGACGGATCGCCTCGAAGTTCATGACATTCTGAACAATGTGGAATATTGGTCATGCATATGGTGTACGCGCGCCTTTATCAGACCAAACACATATGTACACTAAGTCTTTTCATGTCTAACTAAGACAATCTAAATTGTGAGGTGACAGCCTGTGTCATTTACCGATACGACATTCAAGCCAGATCGCGGTAAAACGCACGCACGGACCAGGGTTGTGTGAGCATGCCTTACTAATTGCAAACAAAAACAATACGGTATCGTACGTCTTTCTTGAGCTCGACGGTGACCATCAGCTACGTTTTATGGCGAAAGGAACGCTGCGTGAATTAAAGCATGCAATGTCAGACACTTCCGAGGTCAAATGTGGCGTATTGCAAGTCGTGCATGATTTACCACGATCTACTCACCACCAAAACGAGCGTCGTCGCTTGATGCATGGCGGGGCGGCCTTGCAGGTGATCTCGTGCTGTCCGCGCCGGTTCGACACTGTCGACCCTCCATCATGTCAGCCACACCTCCCACTCTGACCCACAAACCCAGTCCCATCTTCGCCCCGAGGACCTCAAAACCCTCTTAATCCGCGCCGTACACGCGGCCGTGCATTCCGGCCGGCAGCCCGCCACGCGCCGCTGATTGGCCGCCGGCCGGGCCGCCGACCAATCAGCGGACAGCCCGCTCATGCGCTTCCCGCACGGAGTCAGGAAGGCGCCGTGAGCGTTGATGGGCGGGTGACAGCGCACGGGGGGTGCCGGAGACAGCCGAGACGGAGTTCTATCAAGCCGGGATCTAGACGGCGCCGACCGCTGAACAGGAGGAGATCAACAGGGATAGAATGACCAGCCGAGGGCGGGGGAAGACCGCTGTCCAACTGAGGGTGTCCTGGCCGTAGACGTGAACGCAAAATGTGGTGTGGTAGATGCGGTTACAAGCAAGCCAGCGCCCATCGAAGTTAATGTGATTTGAAGGCCTAGCCGCAGAAAGCTGCTCGTCCTGGCAGCCTTGACGAGCAACCTTTTCCCATATTTTCCGTGCCGGTGTCGTTAGATCCCCCCCCCCCCCATCATACACGAGTCTTCAACGGCGGAACCTCATCTGAGGTCGGTGACGAAGCTGGAGGAAAATCGGTTAGTAACTTATATATTACCTTACAATTCCATCAAGACAAGTAAACCTAGCAAAACATGCGGGTAGCCCCCCTCCCCCGACCTACTTATCCGCGACATCTGATAGATCACGTGGGAGGGTCACCTCCCACCCGTGTCCGTACCGTTTATGCTGTCTACCATCCACACTAAGTACATACCCTGGGTACACCGACACATTCGAGATTTTGACATCTCCATGGAGAACATTGATTGTCTTGAGCTCTTGGTCGTATCCAGATAAAGGTAGGTATGGTGACGATATAAGGTACGACGATACAGATATCTTTATCACATGTAAGAGGCCCAGTGAAATGCTGTCAGATAACCGCTCGGCAAAAGAAAAAGCAGGGGCACACGGATTTAGAGATCCTCAGACTCGCTACAGGATAATGAGGTGGCCTTTGTTACGGCGTGTCCTGAGCGCTAAAATATGCAGCATCTAAAACATTCCACCGCTGGAACACTGAAATCACACATAAGATACTCTTAGATCCGAAAACGGCGTCAGCACCGACACGAATTTCTGAAAAGTCACCCAGTACCGTCACACGAATCTCGAGATTCTCAGATCGCCACAGGATAATGAGATGGATTTTCATTTGACTTGTCCTTTTGTCCCTTGACTTGTCAACCTGTCCCTCGACTTGTCAGCGGTGTCGGACGCGCTTGTCAACATTTACAATTGCAAACGTTGGTTACCTTTTTGTGTTTGAAAGCGTGTTCAGCTTAAAAAGAGGACAAGAACCAGAATTTTACGGTTGAAATATGTTTAGTGATATTGCCTCCAGCATTTTCTTGGTAACCAGGAGTCGATGTGCTAATCACTTGCGTTTCCTCTTATGGAGGCTTAAGTCATTACTTGGCGCAATTTAATCTAAGCAAGCAACTAAGTGGAGCAATTCAACGGGGAGTCAAAGACAAATGAATCGGCCTGGATGTCTAATTGTGTTACGCGAGCTGGTTTATACGAATACCACTCGGAGCCAATTTTGAGAACTTCTGGTAGCTTTATCGGCTGCCTTAGTATAATAGTTTCCACTATGTGTCACCGAGACAGAGACAAAAGGGCGACACACAGGTCGTTCCTGCACCCTCAGTCAATGCCTGACATCAGGCACCGGGGAAAACATTAAATTAGAGGGCTCGAAGACAAAGCACGCAACGTCCGCAAAAACACGACACCTCTTCACACTCAGAAGTTATCGACGAGCCTTCCCATGTCACTGAAGATTTGTCAGGAAATGTCGCTTGGCCGTGTGACCCATTTGCCGGAAGTGATTTCTGGTATTGAACTGGTTGGCCCCTGGAGACCAAATAGCTCCGTACCATAAAACTTTCGTGCTTGGTCTCAAAGCTCCCACTACGTCACTGCGTCATCGCGGTGTCCGGACACAACATTTGTTACATTGAGTAACGGCTGAATTGTTAATATTTCAAGGCTTAGTTCCAACCATTTGATCTGATGGATTTCTGGCATCAGAACCCACGCTAAGCAGAGCTTGATGCGTGAGCCCTGGCCCTATCATTTGATCGTCAAATTTCAGGTCAACGGCATAATTTATGGCGAAAGTTTGACGCGGCGTAATACCCGGCACGGCCCATCCCGCCCTATGACGTCATCTGACCTTTGGCGCGGCCGGTGCTGCCGACCGCGGACCATCTCAGACGAAGGCAAAAAGCGAGCGCTGAAAGTGATCCCCACGCTCCCGAATCCAGCCCACCACGGGTGGGGAATCGCAACACAGGCACTCTACAAAGCTGGGCGACCGGGTCGTTCAACTTCCAATACATCGTGTTACTTCTAAAACAAACTTAATTCCTTGCCTCAGACGTTATATTCCGTAGCGTTAATAAGTGATGCCAAGGCGGAGAAAAACCACGAGCCCCTCGAATTCCCTCAAAGCGCACATGTGTCGCCGCGTTAGCGTTATGTTCATCACATCTTATTTACGGGGGGACCGGCACCCAGGCACATTAGGAGCAATTCTCCCTCTGTTAATCGCTGGCCCATCTTCCAGGGCGGGCTATTTTCGCGGCCCTTTAGTACGCGTACTGAAGGCCAAAAAATCCCATCAGAAGGGATTCACATACGGCGCGCAGGCTCCAAATTGGCACTAAATTCAAGCACACAGAAGCGCAGCTGAAGCCTTGATAACGGCGGAGGGGGGGGGGGGGAGGGGGGCACACAGGGTGGACGAAGAGCCTCGCTGATGGTGAAAGACCCTCCAAAAAATCACCGGATATTGGAAAATTGATTTCGAGAGGCATGATTTTCTTCGTCTTATCTTTATTTCAACCGTCCAAAACTGGAACAGAAACCAGAGACTGCCTTAAGATATAACTCCGTTGGTGTTTTAAACTAACTTAACTGAAGGAAACAGACGTTAACTAACTGTGTGTAATAATCTGCTGGCATAATCTGAAGGAAACAGACGTTAAATAGCTATCTGTAATAATCTGCCGGCACTACAGTTATACGATACTTCAGTGGACTCTTTCTAAACTGATGTAACTCAGAGGCTTTGTCAGGCTTTTTTTCTGGGTTCTATAAAAACGTTGATTGCCCTGCAAACGTAGATTGTATATCGAAACGGGGCCGGAAATGCATTTATATGAATATGCATTAACACTGCCAACCCATGTAGGTCTGGGAACGTACAATCTTCAAGGGTGTTGCAAGGTGCAACTTTCAAGGCATTCTGCTCCTTCGAGACTTCTCAGTCCGTGATCGCTTCATCGTTTCAAGCTCACTTTACCATCTCCTCGTCACTGACCCCTTAAACATTCTTGGAACCATTAATTTCGGGCCTTGATTTGCTCCGTCTCCCGATTGTCATGCGCGCCAAGCAAAATCAGTTGCACTGAACGCTCATATGATATTGGCAGGGGCGTCAATCGTTTAGATAAAACATAACGGTCTGTTTGAGGTACTACGCTGACAAAATACCCCTGACAACATACTCCTGGCCAAATACTTCTGACAGAATACTCCTGACTAAATACCCCTGACTAAATGTCCCTGACTACATGACCCTGACGACACACTCTTGACTAAATACTCCTGACAAAATACTCTTGATTAAATACTCCTGACTAAACGCTCCCTGCAAAATGCCCCTTGGACCACCTACTTTCCTGATTTACACTCCTGACAGACGTGCTGGGTTCCTAGGCGTTAACGGTTCAGTGGGCCACTTACAGCAGGCTCTGACTAAGAAATCGGCAATCCTTGATACTAATGTGATTACTCGTCGCGGCTGGCACTGATCTTTTCGTAACGCGCAGACTTCTTATGCGTCACACATTTTATACATATACAGTCAGAATGAACGATGGTGCGGAGATTTAACGACCTCTCATTCAGTCTCAAGACGCGGTTGGTATTCACCGAGTTTCTGAGAACCATCTGGCCAGCTTGACGGTCTCATCGAAGCCTTCTCGATGATTGATTGATGTGCTTCGGGATCCCTGCGTTCCCGCTTGCCATGAGGACATTGGGTGCTCCTTTAGATTTTTATTCAGGACCCTCTGGCCCTTGATCAGGCCGGGGCCCATGAACAGGCTGTTGGTCAGGACCTCGTACATAGATGACAATAATGATAATTTCGTTAATTTTGTTAAAAAAAAATTCATTCCCTTTCCTTTCCCTTAGGGCATTGATAAATACAACACGATGCAAAGTAACAGACATGCCTTTTTGTTTCAAATATTTAAATTAGCCAACATCACTGCCGCTTCACAAAACCTTGTCGTGGTTGTGGCCCAAAGACTGGGCATGAATCAAGATGTACGCCGTCGACTAGAAAGGAAACCGTAGAAAAAGGAGTGGAGATTTGAGAAAAAAAATGAAGGAATTGCCGGTGATCAGGATCCTAAAACCTCTCCGCACGCATACCACTATGTCTCCAGAACAGTTATGCATTGACAAGTATGCTGGCGTGGTTGAACGCCATCCAGTGAATGGTATGTGAAAGTCACTTCTCAGGACCGAAAGATGCCTGCCGACTGCTTATGAGTTCATGCGGCCCGGACCCTGCAGAAAAAAACCGCCCCCGTCGCTCTGGTGATCAGACACCGTGCCCGGCGAATGACAGACACGTGGTTGGATGTCCGAGACACCGCGCTCACGTGCGACTCGTGCCTCTCACAGCTCATCTCACGGTGCCGCGCTCGTGGCGGTGATTGGTCGCTGGTCGAGAGCCGCGCTGTGCCCTGCGCGATCCTGCCGGTGTTATACTTAGCAAGTTAAAATCATTTTGGTAGCAGTGTTAACCAGACGGAAATTTCTATCTTGTGAGGGTGGGGGTTAATACACTCGCAACAAGTCATGCTTGGCAAGAGCTGTGGCCTGATGACGGCCGCAGAAAAAAAGTTCGTA